TGGAGGTTTGATGCTCAATTTTTTGGAAAATCCTTCCCAGTATGAATTGTGCAATGACCAGAAGTCTGAGATTCTTGATGCGTCTATTAACAGTTAGCTAGTTATTCACATGTATGCAGTTGGTAATGTTGTGGAGGTATTTGCGTTCACACGTGTGACAGCTCTCCGGGTGGGTGGGGAGTCTTTGCCTCAAGTGGAGGAGTTCAAGTATCTCGGGGTCTTGTTCACGAGTGAGGGAAGGACGGAACGTGAGATTGACAGGCGGATCGGTGCAGCTTCGGCAGTGATGCGGTCGCTGTATCGGACCGTTGTGGTGAAGAGGGAGCTGAGTCGAAAGGCGAAGCTCTCGATTTACCGGTCAGTCTTCGTTCCTACTCTCACCTATGGTCATGAGCTCTGAGTAGTGACCGAAAGGACGAGATCGTGGATACAAGCGCTCGAAATGAGTTTCCTCCGCAGGGTGGCTGGGCGCTCCCTTAGAGATAGGGTGAGGAGCTCAGTCACACGGGAGGAGCTCGGAGTAGAGTCGCTGCTCCTCCACGTCGAGAGGAGCCAGTTGAGGCTCGGGCATCTGTTCCGGATGCCTCCTGGGCGCCTCCCTCGGGAGGTGTTTCGGGCATGTCCCACCGGGAGGAGGCCCCGGGGAAGACCCAGGACACGCTGGAGGGACTATGTCTCTCGGCTGGCCTGGGAAAGCCTCGGGGTCCCCCCGGAGGAGCTGGAGGACGTGTCTGGGGTGAAGGAAGTCTGGGAGTCCCTGCTTAGGCTGCTGCCCCTGCGACCCGGCCCCGGATAAGCGGACGAAAATGGATGGATGGATGGACGTGTGACAGTGCGCTCCCACATGTGTCTGAAACTAATACAGTCTCCTGCATGACCTTTGACCCTGGGGTTACAGAGAGTTCACTGTGTTCACTCCATGTGAACTCTTTGACCACGTAAGGCTCATATAAAGACAGAGTCAGCAGGGTGCTCTCACACACATGTACTTAAATAACATTTACACCTTTCATTTATTTGTGTGATATTTAGTAACAGTACTGACTTCAGTGTTTCATAACTCTTCCTCTCTGTGAGTAAATCTGCAAGAGACAAAAGCTTTAATGTGAAATGATTTGAACATTTATGTTTCTAGCACTGATATTACTATTTTTTCTATTTTGTGTCTCCAGAATCTGTGCTTTATTTAGAGTTTTACAATTACTCATCAACCACGAATCTCCAAATTATTTCTTCTCTTAAAAACTATTTTAAGGTTATGTTACCATTAGGGATGTAACAATAACCGAAATATTGTGATATTGTATCGTCAAAGTTGTCACAATAATATCGTGGACCATCACAATATATCGAATTAGAAGACAGAGGGACAGAGGGAACTACATAGACCATGATCCTTTGCTCCATTTCAGTGCAGACGACAAGAAGAAATAACAGTTCCAAACTGCCCCTTTAAAGTTGCTCAGAGAAACACTGTGTTCATTGTGATTTGTTGATCATATGAACATTTAATAGTTTACAGCTCTACTTTACATCATATTTTAGCGCCAAAACTTTTGTCATATTCTCCATGTGTGTAATCAGAAATGCCACCACAAATAAAACAAAGTGCAGTTTAGAGAAAAGTGGGTCGAATAAGGTGAACAGGTTCAGTGCATGGGCCTATTTGTTTTCAGTTTGAGCCTATAGCAGCAGGTGTTTGTCCCTCTTCAGCTCCTGTAGCTCTGGGGCTCTGGCTCTGCAGCAGCTGATGTTATTACTGTGCACTATTTCAGGACATTACCCTGTAGAACCATAAGCCCCGCTGTGTCTGCTGCCGCCTGCATGTGCACATTCGATAAGTGTATTTTTAATGCAATGACATCCTGCAAACAAAGTATTAAGTATTTTTTGTTTTTTTGTTTTTGTTGCACAGATTTTGTAGAGCAAGTCTCACATCTTACCCAAAATGACACTACACAATACAAAAAATGATTAGAACTATATAAAATAGCAAAAAACTAAATACTAGCACACACAGAAACATACACACAGAAACACAAAGGACCAGGTCAGTAGTGTTTTAAAGTTTTCAGTTTTCAGTTTGCTTGACCAAACATTTTGAGAGCTTTTAGCAAACCAATAATTTCTTTAGTCCTTTTACTTGCGCAGGAAAAAGTGGAGTGTTCAAATTGACTCTCACAGAATCTATTTTAAAATTTTCTCAGGTTTATATGAGTCCAATCTGTTCTAGAATTAATTTAACATTTTTGGAAATGTTAATTAAGTAACACTGGACCAAAGTTCCTGTTTAACCCCGAAATCAAGAGACCTGGTGGCAGCGCGCAGTGATACGAAAGGAGAGAAAATAGTGCCAAGCGATTATGAGGTCTGACTTTCTCGTGGACAAAGGTTTTGTGATGCAAATATATCACCCTTTTGAACACATTTTGTTTTGAGAAGAAAAATGCTTTATTTTCATGTCCCCAGCCAACTTGCAGGACTACTTTCATCAGCACCAAAACCGGACAGGATCTCGGCTCACCTGACACTGCCAGGGTATCGAATAACACTTTGAAGGGTTTTCCTGATTTAGCTAAACAACACACAGAGGTGTTTTACATTTTTTTAAACTTTATTTTTGTTAATTTAAGATTAAATTATGAACAAAACTGGTTCAAACTGGTCTTCTCTCACAGGAGTTTGAAGTAGTAGGTGGGAGGAGCCAAATTAACACTAAGGGAAGTTGAATTAATTTCAACTATATCAACTCTGGCAAATAAGGAGCTTTGTTCCGGCTGCTATCACACTTATGAATAACTTGTCTTGGAAAAATCATGTGTTTTATATATATATTTAATATTTATTGTGATTTTAGCCAAGTGTGATGGATGAATTTAACTGTTCTGCACTGGAGCACTGTAACACTTTATTTTGTAATTTTGTTTTTATACATGTTATTGTACATAATGTGGATGATTGAATGAAACGTGAAATGTGGGACCAGCCTCTCAAATCTGCAAAACAAATTTACCTCCTGTGAGCTACTTTTTGAAAAACAAAAATGCCAGAGAGCTATTCATTTTAGTGGTCGCCAGAAATGTTGCAGATATAAGAGCCACGGTGAGTCAAAAATGAGGTACAGTTAGATGTCTATAAAACATAACCCATTATCCAGTTATTGGCACATTAAATTAGGCATTAAAATGATACAGTTAGGAAAGGAAAAAGGCATTTAAACAATCAAAACTGAGTTATTCAACACAATATGTATAATTCAGAAATCCCTTGGCGAGCTACTTCGAAGGGGGTGGACAGCTGCTGGTGGCTCCTGAGCTACAGGTTGGAGACTCCTGACCTAACCTAACCTAATAACCCCAACTCAAACCCCCATTTAATTTTCAAATAGTTAACATATCACTTTTTGTGTTAAAAACAACTCATCCTGAAATTGTATTCCTCCAGTTTTTGCTGTATACAGAGCCCAAAATGGTTTTATCAAGCTCCTGCTCAAATTTAAACCTAAGTTTTGACTCAACACCAGGTTTAAATATTTTTACATGTTTATTTTCAGCCGTGCCTGTTGCTGCCTGTGTTCCTCAGAGATGAGACGGTTTTGTTTATACTAGGCCTAATGCTCGATGGTGACTGTCTGTGACCTCACTCAGGGACATTTTACACATTCTTTCTGGGTCATTTCAAATCAGAACTATTAAAACATCAGAATGCAGCTGCTCAGCGCTGAAAACTGACTGAGAGATTGAGGCTCCGTCCACTCTAGTACATATTTGAGTTGTTTTTGTTGTGGATGCAGTGTTCGTTCACATTAATGCGATGGAAAACGGCTCCTGAGTACAGATCTGATCCGGCACTGTGTGGACACCTGAAAACGCTGATACTCTGATGTTGGTCTGTGCACTGTGAAGTAATTCACCATCAAAATTCTAAGAGGCTAGAATATCTGTCCATTCATATAAACGTGTGTCTGAGTGTACGACCTGCAGACGTATAATCTCTGAAAAGTTTAACATGAACCATCTCCAACATGACAGAAACACAGAACAGACACCATCAGCAGAACACCTCTCTGTCACAGAAAGAACACTCATATTCCACTGAGTCGTGAACTTTAGTCCGACAGAAGCTGAACCGCATCAGCGCACAAGGAGCGAGCTGTTTTTTTTTGAGCTCTCAGTTTGTGCAAATGAGCCATGTGGTTTTAAGTGTCGTTTCTGTAAAACATAAACAAATATGCTCAAAGCTGTGTGGACAGGGAAGACTTGTGGACACAGAAACGAGTCAGTGCGGCTGTCTGTTATGTTATATGGTAAAAATTGTAAAATAAAATAAAAACTTGAATTGCAAAAAAAAAGAAATGCAGATGATGCAGCTTTTAAGTTAAAGGTGATTGATGTGGCTGTGGAAGAAGGAAACAGAGCTGCTGCACATGAGCTCGACATCAGTGAGTCAGTGGTGAGATTTTGGCGACGGCAGTGACGAACTGACTCAACACAAAAAAACGACAAAAGCTTTCAGAGGTGATAAAAACAGACGACCCCAACTTGAAAACATTCTCAAAGATGTGGACACCTGCGACTTTTATTCAGGTGCAGCTTATATATGTACAATTTTAAAATTTTGTTAAAATTTAGTTGTTGCGGCTTAAATTTAGGTGTGCTCAGTAGTCCAGAATTTACGGTAAATAAGATTCAAACCAATGCAGCACCTCCTTAGACAAATTAAACTGGAATAATTTAAAGAATCTGCCACATCAAAAGGCTTCTTAACCTTTTAAATATGTTGTGAGTGATTAGGGGTTGTGATTGGGCTGATGATGGTACAGACTGGCTGATTCATTCTCTCCAGTCTATACAAGTTAGAAAAAATATATTCTCACACAAATATTATGAATCTTTGAGCTATAAAAATGGTCAAAACAGATTGTAATCAGCAACAAGAAGCACAACAACAAAGAAGCTACAAGTAAAACTAAACCTGATCTTTCTCCTTCTCTTTTGTAGCCATCCCTGTTCCAGGCCAGGACGTCCATGCTGGTGAGCAGTGGGCGTTTCCGTTGTCCGTCCTGCAGACACGAGGTGATTCTGGACAGACATGGAGTGTACGGGCTCCAGAGGAACCTCCTGGTGGAGAACATCATCGACGTGTACAAGCAGGAGGTCTGCAAGAGCGCCGCCATCAGGTCAAATAAACACTCACCATTTCTATTACTGTAGATCTAACTGTTGAATATTGACACGGTAAAATCTAACACTAGGGTTCACTTGGATTCAGAGCGTTTACTTTACTCACAGCTATGAATTTGTGGATCTTAATGATCGTGGTGAAGTAGTTACAGTTACTTTCAGGGCGAAAAAAGCACATTATTTGTCAGTCAGACTAAGGTCGACTTGAATGAGTTGAGTAACTTCAACAATACCATGTTATTGCCAAGAGCTTTATTATTTTATTGTTACACGTTACCGATGTGTTTTGAATTTAAGCTGTACTAAAGTTTTTCTGTTTTTTCAAAGATGCTGCAGATCTAAATGGCATTATTGTAGAATAGAACCTGTTTTTACTCTAACTTGTGTATAAAAGAAACATTTACTTGCTCAATTCAAGGCAATCAGTTTCTATGTTTGTACCAAGTAAAATGAACTTATTCTTGAAGTAAAAATTATTACATATTTCAGATTTGAGGACCTGACTGATTAGTTGGCACAGCTTCACAACATGAGTTGTATAAATGAAAACTAAAGTTAAACTTAACTTGCTGTGCCTAGTTAGTCTGATTCATCAGCCGGTTTCACTTCATGAAAACCATCAGATCTCGCAGTATTAGGATTCATTCACTCGATGGTAGGCAGGTACTTTTTTAATTTGGTCATGATGTCTGTAATGCGCCGGAACGCTCAGTGCAAGTCCAAGTAATTGTTGGTACAACAGCAAACAAAGCAGAGAGTGAACATGTGTGTCAACGATCACTGTCATTTCTGTGAGGTGAACTTGCAAATCAGAGGTGCAATAAAAAATGCAGCTAGTGTAAGCAGCCTGCCATCGCAACTCACGTTGGTTATGGCCAACACACATTGAGTTTGACGTCGTGGCTTTACAGCTCTTCGCTGATCGGCCTGTGTGCTGTCTACAACTTCTAGGGTTCTTGCAAACTGTTTATGTGTTCAATTGGTCAATGGCCAATTATTTGTGAGCTTAGGTTTAGATTCACAGTTCACTTTAGTCAGATTTTTCAAGGCAATCGGTTTCCTAGGTTTTTATAAGTTAGGTTTACATATTAGATTTTACAGTGTGGAAATAAACACCATTTCTATTACTATAAATCAAACTGTTGAAAATAGAGATAAATGACCAACGAGCTCCTTCACATGTGTCTCTGTAATTAACAAATCTGAATAGATGGTAATGTTTGGGCCTGACTCGAGACGCTACAAAGGGAGTGAGACCCAGATCCTGCTGTATTTTTACTACCATATCACAAAAAAAGTCACCAGAAAAACACACACATCTCAGTCACCTCACTTTTTCTTATTTTGCATCGATCAAAATGATGAAACCTAAAATAGCACATTACCTTAACACAGGCATGTGAATGAAGTAAAGCAAGTTCAGTTATTAACAAATCAATCAAATCTATAATTCTTCTTTTCTGTGTCTGTCCAGCCTGCCCCCTCCACCGCGTCTCCCTCCTCCTGAACCCGCCCAGGCCACGTGCTCGGACCACGAGGGGGAGAAGGTGAACATCTACTGCCTGAGCTGCCGTGTGCCCACCTGTTCGCTCTGCAAAGTGTTCGGAGCCCACCAGTCCTGCCCCGTGGCCCCCCTCACGCAGGTCTACCAGCAGCAGAAGGTAAACCAGGCACAGCACGACACAGAGGAACCTGTAAGGAACCTGTAACTCACGTTTAATTAGATAAACTCACCCCGTGTTGTTTGTGTTGTTTTACGGTGTGATCCAGGATGAGCTGAGAGAAGGTCTGGACTCTTTGGCAGAACACAGGACTAAAATACAGACTGTGATCGATGAACTCAACCAGATGTGCATCGACTTAGAGGTAAGAGCTGGATGATTGTTGTCTATTCTGCGTGTTTTAGGTTTTAAACACAGAGACTTCATAGACTAAGGTAACCAGACGTCCCTTTTTACCCAGAACAGTCCCAGTTTTGAGTCCTGTGTCCCCTGTCCCAGCAGATTTATCCAAAACCAGTGATTTATCTCAGTAGTATACAAAAATGTCCCAGGTGTCTTTATTTTTGACCAATCTGATGCCTGACAACAGTAAAGAGAGGCATACTTTGTCATTTGTTTAGGTAAAATACAGAAAACTTGCTTATGACCAAAACACAAAGAAAATGTGACTATTAAGGATTTGCGTGTGATGAGTCAGTCACGTGATTTCATGTTTTGGTGGCCATACTGGAGATCAAGACTGTTATTATTCAGTTTATTTCAGTATAATCATGGTGACATTAAACAGCACAAATGACATAAATCACCAGCTCGTTAGATCAGCGTCATTAGAAAGGTATAAAGCTAAAGTCGTCCTCCTGGGTTGTGGACTAGATCCCGATCTAGCTTTGTCAGTCTAATCAACGCTCACTCTGTGCCCAACCTTTAGTCTCCAGATATTTACAACTTCTTCATTCATTCAACATCGTCCAACACCAACCAAGAACTGAAAAGCTACACGGGCTTAAAATCTCATAAATATTTTGTAGCGGGATGTGTGAGATTTTTGTTGATCACCAAACATCACATCTGTTCCTGATAACAGCCAGGGGAAGTAGAACGGAGGTCAAAATCAGAGCCGGAGACGCGGAAATAGAGGGTAACTTTTGGTATTCATCATTTCATTTACTGTAAATCCCTTCTTTGTTTGTGTGGAGATGGTCCCTCACCAGAAATGAAATGTTGACTGACACACGATTGTACTCAGAGGGCTCCATTTCTCTTTTTTATGTCCGCTATCCACCTCTGTCTGTGATCTTTATCAGCCGACCGGGATCAGATAGAAAGATACTTTGGCCTTCTTCTTTAGCAGATTGACTCCGGCCAAAACATCCAATAGCAACACAGGTCAAAACCATTGTTATTCAATTCAAATTTTATCACACGTTGGTCCAGATGGAAAGTTTGACCTCCAATATGGCGCCATATACACCAGGTCACGTGGTTTTGTGATGTAGACGCAAAACCTTAATACTGATTCACATGGGCGAGTGCTTAACAGTTTTCCTTAATTACACACTCCTTTCACAATTTTATTATTCCCAACTGACCCAAACCAGGCGTGTCAGACTTAATTTTGGTTTCTGTGACCTCTCTCCCACTAGCTTTAACAACAGGTTTGATTGACAGTCTCTCTGCTAAGTGCCCACCCTCTCGTGTACCTTCAGCAGCCTCTCTCCTGATTGGCTCTTTGGTTTCACTCTTGCCATTTCCAAATATGGTCTTTGGCTGCAGATTAGTCGCTATAACTGCTTCAACCAAACTTCACACTCCCTTTGTTCACTTCCATTACACAGTCTGTGGGGAGAGACCACACAAAGTCCACGCAAATCAAACCCAGGATCTTCTCAGGGCTCAGCCAACATGTTGCCATAAAAGCCTTGTGGTTCAAATCTCATTTTAAAACGCTTTATATTCCTGATAAGTAGTGTTGGGAAGGTTACTTTTAAAATGTATTCCCCTACAGATTACAGATTACATACTCCAAAATGTAGTTTGTAATGTAATCCATTAAATTACTTTAGGTGAGTAACGTAATCTGAATACTTTGGATTACTTGATTTGCTGTAGAGAAGCAAAGACGAGGAAATCTTCACATAAGAAGTTTCATCTGCTAAAAGAAAATTAAAAGCCCAGACTTTACTTAACCAAATTAAAAATATTATTGATAGAAAACGAGGAGACACGACCACGCAGCATTATTTAGTCCTGTTAAATCCTGTTTTAGACCTGGTTTTAGACCTGGTTTAGTAATGGTTTAGTCCCGGTTTAGTCCCAGTTTAGACCTGGTTTAGTCCCGGTTTAGTCTCAGTTTAGTCCTGGTTTAGTCCCGGTTTAGTCCTGGTTTAGTCCTGGTTTGGACCTGGTTTAGTCCTGGTTTAGTCCTGGTTTAGTCCTGATTTAGTACTGGTTTAGTCCTGGTTTAAACCTGGTTTTAGACCTGGTTTAGACCTGGTTTGGACCTGGTTTAGTGTCCGGCAATAAGTGGAATTATCGAAAAAAAAAAAAAAAAAAAAAGGGATATAGCCCAAAATGTGAAAACAGGAAAATACCTCTGTGTAATACATTTACTTCAACAAAGTAACTGTAATCCAATTACCACTCACTGAAACAGTAACTGTAACTGAATACAGTTACTCATAATTTGTACTCTGATTATGTAACTCCAGTACATGTAATCTGTTACTCCCCAACACTGCTGTTAAGATACTTCTCCCATGTTGCCTAAAGTCACAGTTCTCCAGTCACAGTCGTATAGCATGTGATAGGAAGGGCATCTGGCATAAAAGAACCACAATATGTGGTTGTTGTAAATGGGTGTGATTCTGTATTCTTCTTACAGTGAGGATCTGTGTGTGTCTCTTGTACAGGAAGCGTACAGAGTTCAGAAACAAACCGTCTCTGATCAGTTTGAGCACATCAACTCCGTCCTGGAGGAGAGGAGAAAGGTAAACACACACGACTCTATAGTAAATGTGCTCCTGTCCACAGACCCTCTCACTGTCCTGTGTGTGCAGTCTATGACGGAGGTGATCAGTGCAGAGGAGGAGGAGAAGACGGGCCGAGTCAAAGCTCTGCTCAGACGATATGGAGAAACGGTCTCAGTGAACAGTAAACTCCTGGAGAGAGCCCAGGCCACCATGGAGGACACAGACTCTGTGGCATTTGTACAGGTCAGACAGTGTGTCAAAAACCTTCAGAGCAGTCCGGAAGAACTTAAATAAAAAAAGAAAAATAAATAATAATATAAAGAACATGTTGTAGTTTTTTTTATGCAAAACTGACTCATGTGATCTTTAAATCATGTTACCAAACATACTCTGAGTTGTGTTTTGTTTCTTTCACGTTTGATTGACCCTTTATTATTAGTCTGTCTACATCTTCAAAGCTCAAAATGCTCTGTTCCACCTTGTGATGTTGTGTAGTGATTAGTTATAAAGCTACCTTTTACCTTTTGTTTGGTAGAGATTGGCAGTTCCAGGTTGAAATTATCCAAATCATTTTAGTGAAGGTGTATTTGCTCTGTTAAAGCGATACCATGTAATTTTTAGATGGGAAAAAACATGCATCCTTACTGTGAGCAGGCTTGCTTCTCCACAAACCTGACTCTAATTTGACCTGGAGGAGGGTTTGTTTCCAGGGAATATATGAACTTTCTTTAGTCATGCAGGTGTGTGAAATAAAGCTTTATTCTTTGTTTCTGTTTCCACTCAGAGCTCCAAAGACATCATCGACAAGTGAGTATCAGACCTTCACAATCTAGATACAAAAATGTGTTACATATTTTCTGAATGAAATACAGCACAGTAAATATCTGGTGCTTCTCTTTTCTCCAAATAAACTTCCTGTGTTCAGGTTGCTCGTAGCGACCGCCTCGTGTCCCTCAGAGACACTGGACCCCGACGATGAGAACCTGAGTCATTACCAATATAACTTCAGCCGACAGTACAGGGCCCTGCTCAGCTTAGACTTCCCCAGAGGTAAAGACGGGTGGAGCAGACATCACACAGACATTTGTCCTGTTTAAAGTGGAACTAAACACTGAGGGCGATTTCACCTGCTCCATTTGGTTCACTTCAGGTGGACTTGAGTTCAGATCATCTGTGAGTTTGGTTTGTTTGGCCTGGGGTGAAAGCATTTTCATTTGGTGAGGACTAAAGAAACGTACCGAGAACATTTTCTGCTGGTGGTCTCGTGTGTTCAAACTTTTCACTAGTAACGTTTATGTAGAAGAAATGATCAGTGTGGCCATTGTCCAACAGGACACACGATACAAAGAGTCTGATGCAGCTTTTATTTCTTGAGCCGTTTCCAAAGCTAAAAATAAAAAGCACATGTGACACCTGACTTCACTGTATATCGATCAGTACCAGGAAGTGTTGGACTTAAAAACAAATAAACACTTTTAATCCTGAAAATATACAGCACCTGAAATGTGAGCATCACTTTTATTCACAAATTTTTACTCGCTAAAAATATAAACTGCCTTATTAACTGTGAACTATTCCACAGCATTAAACTTTTCTTTCTTCTTGGAGACAAGCATGTGATGTTACAGGTCAGACCTGTGGAGGGGCGACACCAACCAGAGCAAGAATTATGTTTTTCATTGCACCTTTAAACAATAGACACATCAAGAATCTCAGACTTCCGGTCATTGCGCAGTGCATACTGGGAAGGATTTTCCGAAAAACTGAGCATCAAACCGCCATGTTTGTTTTCCCAGTGGGATCTGTCTATTGACAAAGTCGATCTTTTCAAGTCTTTTGAACCATATCGCTTTTGTTTCTGGTTCTGATATTGTCATATTTTAGTTTTGGGATTCGGACATCGTTAATTGTGTGATTGTTGGATCCTAACAGTGGAAAACAGCTCGAGAAATTTGTTTGCGAACTCCATAAATGCAAAAGGGAATCAGATGTGTGTGAATGCAAACCTCTGTTCAAACTGTTTCACTTCCCAACAGAATTGAAAAATAGTGAAAGGTGAAGGCGATGGGCAGGATTGATCCACAGGAAGGACCAAAAAGGAAACCTTTGGCTGCCTAAATCATCCCGAGTTTGCAGTGAACATTTTGTATGTGGAGCAACAACAAAGCAAAATCCCGATCCCTCACTCAACCTTGGTTACGAATTTAAAAAGTCAACTCCAAAGCGAAAGGAAAGCTGTTCACCAAGAAACAACTTCCACTGCAAAGAGACCAAGAGTTAATGTGGCTGTAAAACCACAAGAACAAGAAAGTGCAGCTCAGCCTGTTTGTCTTTTGCACCTCTCACTTAACAAACGGGATTCCGCTTTGATGATGCTCCACATGCAAAATGTTCGCTGCAAACTTGCGATGATTTAGGCAGTCAAAGGTTTCCTTTTTTGTCCTCCAACATCCAACAACCACACAATTAAGATGTCTGAATCCCAAAACTAAAATATGACAATATCAGAATCAGAAACAAAAGTGATATGGGTCAAAAGACTTGAAAAGATCGGCTTTGTCAATAGACGCATCCCACTGGGAAAACAAACATGGCGGTTTGCTGCTCACTTTTTTGGAAAGTCCTTCCCAGTATGCATTTCGCAATGACTGGAAGTCCAAAATTCTTGATGCATCTATAGAAAAGACTGAAATTTAATCAATTCAAGATAGATATGTTTAATGCTACACTGTGGAAGATTCCAGACACAGCGAGAACATCTGGACCTCAACCACAGACGTTACTTAGGTCATTTTTAAGAAGCCAATCGTTTATCATGGTGAAATATAAAAAGTCTACACCAGTTTTTAAGCTTGGCCAATGGATTTTAGTGTTTAGAGTTTGGAGAGACATTCAGATATCTGGTCTATATCTTGCAATACTCATGCAGTATGTAGGATGCCGACTTGTATTCAAATCTAACACCTGATTTTTGCGTTTCTCCTGTTAAAGAGGACATACCGGAGGAGCTGGAGTCAGAATCGGAGACAGAGGAGACGACGGAAACAGAAGACACAGAGGAGACGCCTGCACAGCGCATGGACTCCCCCTCACAAACTGTAAAAGACTGTCCAGCGACCGTCCCAACAGAGCCCCTCGAGGTACAGGACAAGGAGACAGGGGACGGGGAGAGGACAGAGCCACAGAGGGACAGTGGAGATGGACTGGAAAGAGTGGACAGAGTGGACAGAGTGGACAGAGTGGACATGGAGGGGACAGAGCTCAGGCACAGAGGAGCAGAGCCTGTTCAGATCCAGAGGGAGGAGATCCCAGAGGAGACCCACCAGAGACGAGTGGAGAGGCCTGTGTCCGCTCAGGAGGTGAAGGAGGAGGGCATGACCACACTACAGGTACAGTACACACACACACACACACACGCACACGCACACACACACACACACACACACACACACACAGACACACATGAACACACACACACAAAGTCCAATTTATTTATCTGTTTTAACTTCAATCTTCAAACTTTGAATCATTGCAAACCTTTTTTTAAACAATCCATTTTAAGGTACACTGTGCAACCTGCTTGTCTCCTCATAATGAAATGTTATTGCTTTGTCTCTAGAATGTTCCACAATGCAGCTTTAAAAATATCTCGAGGCTACATTACAGGTCAGATCTGTGGAGACGCGACCCTGCTCACAAAATGGATTTAAAGAGGGGGGGCGGGTGTGAAGCACTTTCTGTTACGTCAGATGCGTCATAGGTGTATTTGCCGCATCATCGTTGTAGCAGCTTTAGTTCATTGTCATGTGGGAGGGTGGCAGAAATACGCTGCAATTTGTTAAAAAAAAAAAAGCTGAATCAATTGAAAAACCACTTCGGCGACAAATACAAGCCCACACATCACTCTTAGAAGGTAGAAAACTAATTAAACTAAACTAATTTTGCATGAGATGGGCCCTTTAATGTATTTTTGAGCAATAGAAACACATGTAATGAATAAATGTAGATGTTTGATGTCACACCAGGGAACATTCCAGGCAAAGCAATAACATCTCCATGGAGACCAGTAGGATGCTCCGCACTGGCAAGGAAGCAGCCGATGGATTTCATGCACCCATTGGCTCCAGCAGATAAACCACGCCCACATAAATAACCAATCAAAGCAAAGACATCAGACAGCTCTGCCAAATTGCCAGTTCTGCTCAGCTGAGGTGTCAAGAACAAGCCGCAAGAACTGCCAAACAGGAACCAGCCCTAAGTTCTTACGTTCTTATGAAGTATGAATAAGCCTTGAGTCTTGCAAAGGGGAAAAAAAGAGGAAAAAAATTTGTTAGCTTCCACAAAATATCACAGTAAATATTGTAAATATCGTAGCGTGACATGTATATCATGAAAATATTCCCAGAGATATAGATATTGTTACATCTCTAATACAAACATATACATTTACATAGGTAAAACACAACTTACATTATACTGATATAGACTTAAAAACATGATGCATATTTATGAATATTGTTTTGTTTTGTTGATAATAATCTGGGCCCAGCGCCATTGTTCCTTGTGGCTTTAAACCTGTGTCTATTCATTTTACTGTCTTCCTTTACTAATCACTTAAAGGAAGTCACTGCAGAGTCTGAGGGCGACAAAACAAAACCACGCCCAGAGCCTGAGACGGTCGAACAAGACAGAGGAAAGGAGGCTCAGAAACCAACTCTAGATGAAGACACAGAGACTTTACTTTATCCTGGATGGTACAAACATGGAAACTGGGGCAGAGACAGTCCGGTTAACAAAGAAAAACAAGTTAATTATACAGATGTTAATACCAGCAGTGAAAATATTGCTTCAGAACTGACTCAAGATCGGTTTGTTCAGCAAGAAGAAGCCAGCAATGCTCCAGAGATACCAAGTCCACGATGGGATGGTCAAGATGTGAAGAATATGTCTCTACAACTGTCAAAGCAAAATGAAATAGAAGAAATTCAACCAAAATTGGAATCGGAAAACGAAATTGAGGCTTCGCAAGATCAGATTGTCAAGAAAGAAGAAGCGAGTAAGGCTTCAAAAGTACTTTGTCCAAGACTGGATGGTCAAGATGTAAAAAAGGATGATCAAATACGTTTCTACAGTCACCAAGTCAACACGAAATAAAACAAAATCAACCAAAATTGGAATCAGAAAATGAAATTGAGGCTTCGCAAGATCAGATTGTCGAGAAAAAAGAAGCCAGCAATGTTCCGGAAATATCTAATCCACGATTGGGTGGCGAAATAAAACAAATTCGACCAAAATTGGAATCAGATAATGAAATTGAGGCTTCACAAGATCAAATTGTCCAGAAAAAAGAAGCCAGCAACGCTCTAGAAATACCTTGTCCACGTTTAAAACTGGATGATAAAAATACATCTCTTCAATCGTCCAATCAAAGCGAAATAAAACGAATTCAACCAAAAACTGAATCGGATAACGAAATTGAGGATTCGCAAGATCCGATTGTCCAGAAAAAAGAAGCCAGCAATGCTCTAGAAATACCTTGTCCACCATTAAAACTGGATGATAAAAATACATCTCTACAATCGTCCAATCAAAGCAAAACTAAACAAATTCAACCAACATTGGAATCGGATAACGAAACTGAGGATTCGCAAGATTTCGAACGTCTACCGCAAACTAAGAATGAAACCTTTGAGGACTTTTTTGATGATTGTGTAACAAATAATTCGAAGAAGAGCCGCTCTGGAAATAAAAACATAGAATTTCTCGACAATATTGAAACTTCGAAAAATGAAAATAGACAAATTTCCAGTGACGAAATTCCAAGTTCTGAGATTGATGGCGAAGAACTGCCTGAGGGAATTTCAGAAACAGAAGCTGGAGGCGACAACGACCAGTTTGACGGAGAAAATGTAATGGAAGGAGTTTCTAGCGATGTTGAAGATACTACAGGAAGCCAGCAGGAGGCGCCACAAAGCACGGGACAAACTTCGGAGTCGGGATTTAGAGGGAGTGTGACGTTACAGGTAACGTTTTTAAGCTTTTATTTTGAAATAAGCCAACTTCTTCACCTGCTTCTGCTGCTGGCTACGCCTCAACTCGCCGTTCATCATGTCTTTTCACTTTTCCGTTGGATTAATTATATTTTTCACTTGATTTCGTTTTGTGTTTTGTTGCGTTATTGTAAAAGTTTGTTGTTATATATGTCTTGTCTTCCATTGCTTCTCTTTACAGCAATACTGAACATAAAAAAACAAAGCTAGTGTATTTAAAATGTTTTGGAATTGAACAGCATTTACATTTAATTATCAACATGGTGGTTTTCATCGTGGAGATGTGATTGCTTGCCTGGAATGTTTCAGAGTTTGGCATTAAGCTTTACTATCTCCATGGAGACAAGTACAAGGTCAATAAAAACAACGATTGATACCAAGATACATAAGTTGCCGTAAAATACCAAATAATAACCGGGGCGTTTATGTGTTTCAATCGCTTAACAAACCCAGTCTGATTCATGAGCCGGTTTCACTTTTTAGAAACTGTGTGACCTCGCAGCATTAGTATTCGTTCGCTTGACAGTAGGCAGGTCCTTTTTTTATTTAACCAATCGCTGTTGTTTGGTTGTGATGTATGTAATGTGCCAAATCCTGAAGGAAGAAGGGCAATAACGTCTTTCCCTTTGATAAAATTCACCAAACATTCTCTTTGTTCCGGCTTTAATTCCTCGATCTTGGGAATCATTGCCAACACAGAATATATGTCTTCGTCTACATCCATCTCGACACTTTGTTTACTGTTGTGCTGTTCCACAAAAGGGACCCAGACAGAAGCCACGAGTTTGACGTCTTCACAGCTCTTCACTGATTGGTCGGTGTGCGATCTAGAACTTCTGAGGTTCTTGCAAACCATCAAGACTGTAGTGTATTTTGATTCCTGACTGTATTTATTTAAGACCAGACGACAATTTGGGGCAGGTGATTCATTCCTTCCTCACAAAAATATAATATAATATACATATAATTTACAGTTTTTATTTGTTATACAATGGCCTAGCGACTAATTTGCCGACCTTGTGGATACGATTTCTGCCGCCTTGTCCCTTTGCCACAACTTTCCTCTTATGCTGCAGCAGCTACGATCACATCGCTGCTTCCTCCGAACCGCCAACCTGAATATCACCAAAACTCCTAAAAACTCCTTCCATTTCCTGCTCGATATGCTGTGCCATTTTTATTTATGTTACTTCAAAATCGTGATTTCACAGCAACGTGAATCTAGATCTGTTTCTCCACTTTTTCACTGAAGCTGAGGCTGATCGGACACAGCGCAGAGAATAGAACCTATCCATTCAGTCACATGACCAGTCTGGTGTCGGCAGGACTGACCTGAAGTCATACTGCTCCTGTGTTGCTGTAAACATCAGACTCTCTGTGGTGTCGCTGCTCTAATCATCAGATCTTGGTTAAATAAAGCACAAAAAACTTGAAATGCTCCTCGGCAGCAGACAAAACCACTGCTGGACGAGACTGGATTAGACTCGACGTTTATTTGGAACCGGCGTTTATTTATTGAAATATAAACCTGCACCTGGTGTTTAAAAGGACCCAGCAGTTAATTGAAACCAGGCTATTATTTGGTATTTTACTGTGAATTTTGTACACTCCAAGCAAAGTAGAAGCTTTATCATTGAAATGAGGTGATTACAGGGATGACAGTGTTGCATTAGTTGAGCTTTAACCCTTTAACCAACGGGTAACAAGTTCAAGTCTTGGCCAAAGAAACTGTTATTATGTCCTAGGGAATACATGCATCCTGAATTTCGGACATCTGGTCATCGAGCGCCAACAAAGCAAAATCACGATCCTTCCTTTTTAGTCCTTCCTGTTTATAAATACTAATTAATTAATCATTGCATTTATATAGCACCTTTAAAGATAACCAAAGACGCTTTACAGTTCATTATTCAATCACTCAACACTCATCTGCACCATCGGCCCCTGCGACCACCATCACTCGCGTACACACCACTTTCATATTAGGCAATGTGGGTGAAGTGTCTTGCCTAAGGACACAATGACAGTTTTTGACACTAGCGTCCCACTGTGGCACCTGGAATTCCCAGTGTCTCCCATCCAAGTACTACCCAGGCCCAGCCCTGCTGAGCTTCTGAGATCTGGGAAGGGAAACGGTTTGGACAGAGTTTTGCAGTCACACAGATCTGATTCCCTTTTGCAGATATGGAGTTCGCAAACTTCCGAAGCCCATTTCTCGAGTTGTTTTCCGCTGTTAGGATCCAACAACCACACAATTACGATGTCCAAATCCCGTGACTAAAATATGACAATATCAGAACCAGAAACAAAAGCGATATGGTTCAAAAGACTTGAAAAGATTGGCTCTGAAATTCGGGATGCATGTATAGTCAACAGTGATGAGGTTGGTTGAAAAAGGAAGGGCATCTGACAAAAAATAAATAAATAAATAAAAATTACAGGCACTTTGGCAACGCTTTAAGAAATTCGAATGTGTCTCGCTCAGACCAAGTGCACTCTGTTGTGTCGTTAGGTAAGCCACTTCTCCGACACTGCCCAGTATGAATGTAGTGTACGTGTGTTTAAGGGAGGGGTTGATGTTGATCTTTTCTTTTAGTCTATGGCAACAAAAGTGTCTTATCGCCATGGAGACTAGAGAAAATGGGGTTTATCGCTTTGAGAGGAAGCTGCTAAATAACAAAAGCTATATTTCTTTTCATAATCCGTGTTTCTGTTTCGCTTTATGTGTTTTCATTAAGTCATATCATGCCTCACCATTCCCTCTCTCTCTCTGTCCCATCTCTCCCTCACACCTCTGTCCTCCTTGTTCCCTCCCTCCCTTTCTCTCTCTCCTCCTTTCTCTCTCCTCCTTCCTGTTCTCTCTCTGTTCCTTCCCTCTCTCCATCCCTCTCTCTATACCTTCCTCTCTCCCTCACACCTCTGTCCTCTTTGCTTCCCCTCTCTCCCTCTCTCCTTCCCTCTCTCCTCCCTCCTTCCCTCCCTCCGTGCAGGCGATCACTCTTGTCTTCTACCTTCTGGCGTTCCTCGTCATCCTGCAGAGGTTCTGGATCTACATCGGCCGCTACATTCTCTTATAATCCCACAGTACAGGAGCTGCACCTGTCACTGCTGCATGTCCAGGTACACGGGGCTGCACCTGTCACTGCTGCACCTGTCACTGCTGCATGTCCAGATCCACACGGAGCTGCCCACACACAGCACTGAACTCAAATCACACAGACTTTTAGAAACATTTATAGACGGGTGTGCACCTGTCTGCACTGACACCTTGTGGCTGCATGAGGAGTGAAAAAAATACTACTAATGCAAGAGAATCATTTTCATCAGATTTTGAATGCTTGCAAATTAAATTTTTTTTAAACTTTTTTTTTAACACTGAAAAACATGTTTTTAGATAGAATTGCAATTAAATATTCAATACATATTCTGAATTCAGAGTGAAAAAAATGATACCAGAACATACAGTCAAACTTTATTTATAAAATGTTTTACATTTGATTCATTTACTGCTCATTGAAAACAATCACAGAGCACATGGCCAGTGCTGTGTGATTGTTTAGTATTAATAATTAAACCCACTCTCACATTGAGAACATCATTAATGATTCATCTGAACAAATGAAAATGTCATAAAGATTGTGGCATTTCCAGATAAGAGATAATAACAGAGTCAGCAGTAAAAAGGTAAGATGAAGCTACAGTGTTGCTCAAGCAGTAACATAGAGTGGAATAACAAAACTACTTTTCTAAGAATTAAATCAAGTAAATGTGTCTGATTCCCTCTCTCTGGTGTGTGAGACTCTCCTCTGTTTGTCACAGACTGAACCAGAGTCCAGCCCTGACGCTCCTCCTCCTCCTCAACGTCCCATGTTTTACTTCTCCTGGCTCAACCGTCTGCACAAGAGCCAGTGAAGACAGAGAGCCCCCAAGAGACCCAGAGAGACCCCAGTGAAACCCAGAGAGACCCAGAGAAACCCAGAGAAACCCCAGTGAAACCCAGAGAGACCCAGAGAAACCCAGAGAGACCCAGAGAAACCCAGAGAAACCCCAGAGAAACCCAGAGAGACCCAGAGAAACCCAGAGAGACCCAGAGAGACCCAGAGAGACCCAGAGAGACCCCAGAGAGACCCAGAGAAAACCCAGAGAGACCCAGAGAGACCCCAGAGACCCAGAGAAACCCCAGAGAAACCCAGACAAACCCAAACAGTCCGGGATAGGGTCCAGACTGGGCCCTGTGGTCTGAACTGGGGTTTGAAGTCCGGTCTGAGGCCTGGATGGGGCTGAATGCCACGGAAATGTGTTAAGAATAAAAATGATATAGAGACTAAACTAAAAATGGTACTGAGAAGTTCTTTAGTTTATAAACCTAGACTCTTGTGGTAGTTGAAAAGACAAATATTTCTATGATATTATGCACATAGACTTAGAGAATAAATAGGAGTGTGTGTAGTTTCAGAGCAGGTTTTGTGCATTTACTTGTGCATACTAAAAATAACAGACCATGTTTGCTACTTCTACCATGACATCAAAAATGATAATAATAAGTTACATCATCGTGGCACCTACATGTTCACTGTCCCCAAACCACAGCCCATGTCCTCTTTTGCTGTGCAAGAGTAGATTCTGTTTTGTTAAAAGTGCACTAACTTTTCTAGAGGGGCATCTGTCTCCTACTCGTCTCCACGGAAATGTTATTGATACCCACAGCGAATCGAAGTCTTTTGTCCAGTTGACAGAATAGAAATTTTCTTTGGTGACCCACAATGTGGCATCTCCAGCCATCAGTTTACAGGCCAGATCTGTGGAGAAGCAAACCCACTCACAATTAGGAGGAACTGGAATAAAATTAGGAAAATTTAAGAATAAAACCCCTATGATTGATTAAATGTAAAAGGTATATTTTAATGCAATACTGTACTAGCCACACTGGTGCCACCTAATGCTTCTGCTCAATTTAATTTCTCTCCAGCGACTAGGTCAGGAATCAGAATACACTACATGGTTCGCAAAAACCACGGAAGTGTGAGTCCGGGCACCAGCCAATCAGAGAAGAGCCATATTCTGTGTTGGCAACGATTCCCGAGATCGAAGATTTAAAGCCGCAACAAAGAGAATGTTTGGTGAATTTTATCAAGGGGAAAGACGTTATTGTCCTTCTTCCTACAGGATTTGGGAAAAGATTAATATACCAGTTAGTCCCGTTAGTGGAGCAGTACAGACATCACGACCAAATAACAGCAATTGGTTAAATAAAAAAAGTACCTGCCTACTGTCGAGCGAACAAATCCTAATGTTGTGAGGTCACACGTTTTCCACAAAGTGAAACTGGCTAATGAATCAGGCTAATACTGTCCAACATTCCTGGCAAAATAATAACATTGTCTTGGAAAAGGATAACTGGGAGACGTCCCTCCAGAAAAGTTACACTTTTTGTTTTGTTCACACTTTGGTTTTCTTTTAGATTTTAATTCACTTTTGAAGTGCTGGTCCTCTATCTGAAAAAAAAAAAAGTGAATTTATTACAGTAACATTACAGTGGTTCTTTTGTAAGTTCAGACACGAAATTATTTGCTTAATATGATTTTTGTTTTTTCCACAATGTGACTGAATCAGGCCTATTGAACTGCTGTGTACCTTTCAACAATAAAGTTTTTTTCAATTATTTTCATGTTGTCAATTTTTTTTTTAAAGACAAAATATAAACCTTATGTGCTTGTAAAATTCTAAAACTGAAAAAAATTGTCTCGCAGTTGTTTGTTATTTGCACTATATTTCTTTATAATTATAGCAGCTAGTTGGCAAATTTTTGTCTGGACATAAAAGAAACTCTGAAGTCATTTTTGTCCGTTTCACACTTTGGCAAGTTAAGGTCTTTTGTAGGACAGACCTGTATTTGTATTTGTATTTATTTATTAAGGGACAATGCACATTAAAAGACAGGATAACGTAAGAGACAAATGTGTACTTGCAAATATGCAGGATTGCAGCCAAAGCTCATTTCTATCCTTAGTCCCCTGCTGGACCAAGGCCACATAAAACATATTCATCATTATCATCATCATCTTTATTCTGGACTCATGGTCCTTTTTAAAAACAGACAAGGACAGTGACAATACAAAACAATAAACATTTATGTTTTTAAAAGATGACCACACCAGTGTCTCCACATACTGGACTGATATCATATTGCACTGAATCTCAGATTTGTGAATGACATTATTATTTCATTGTCTGATTTGTTCAGTCTGCAGATAAAACTGTACATTAAAATTCTTAGTGCAGTTTGCAAAGTGTTCACTCGTGCAGTAACAAACATTTCAGTCTCACTCGTCCATCGTGGCTCCTCAAAAGCTCCATAAAGCGTCACTGTAGGCCACCTGCAGTCTTTGCAAACTCGCTTTTTTATAATTAGTCCAGAGGTGAGCTGTGTACAACAGTGTACAATAAGATTTAAATAGTAACAACTTTACATAATTTGTACAAGAACCAAACTTACACATAAGAGGATTTACCTGAGCATAGAGCGTCCTACACTGTCTATACATCATCATCATCATCATCATCTGTCATGTCCACGGTGATGATCTGCCCCAGATATTTAATTTTTGTTGTAACAGACAACACAACATTTGACAGGAAAAGTCAGGAAATCTCATGTGCTTATATTCTTTGGTCCTACAGATCATGACCACAGTCTTGGTTGCAATATATTTTATGTCATGCTCCACACCGTAAGCTGAACAGATGTTGAGGAGCTGCTGGAGAACAGCGGTGCTTGGACTGAAAACAATCAAATCATCTGCACATTAAATGATTCACAACAAAATTTCCAGTCGCACAACCAGTTTTAGATGTTCTAAACTTTATTGACAATTCATCTAAATACAAATTAAATAAAACTGGGGACAGAATCCCCCCGTCTGACCCCACTGCTGACCCTAAATTGGGCAGACACACTGTTTCCCCATCCGCATTGTCTGCTCTGCATACCAGTACATCAAAAAATACACAATGTATTTGGGTACACCCTTTTGAATCATCTTCATAAATAGTTTCCGGTGATTCACCCTGTCAAATGCTTTGGATGCATCTAAAAAACACATAAAAGCTGATGAATTCTGCCTCTTGTATTTATCAATAATCTCTTTAAGAGCATACACACACATATGTGTGCCCAGCAGAGCCTTAAACCTAAACTGGTTGTCTGTAGATTTAATAAATTGTGAGATCCTGTCCAGCAGGATTACTTCAATATTTTTTGACACTATGCTGGCCAAAGCTATAGGTCTGTAATTGTCAGAACTGCCAACTTTCCCAATTTTATCTTTAATGACAGGGACTAGCAACACAGTTAACACAGAGTCAGGTAAAAATCCATGAACAAAGAAAGCTGTGAAACAAATTGTATTACCGTTTATATATTTTTATTCCTTGTTATTATATTATATTGTGATGTGTGAGCTTTTGTGTCTAAATAATTTCCCTTGTGAATCAATAAAAGTTTGTCTAAATCTAAGTGTTTATGCAGTTTCGATACTGACCGGAGGAGGGCCTCAGTGCTTCTTCAGTGCCGGTCTACGGTCGCTCTCCTCCCGCAGAAGGAGCCGCTCTGAGCCGTGGCTGTTTTGGATCTCTGCGCTCACACTTCCACTTCCCCGGGCTCCTCCTGCACCTCTCAGCGGACAAAACACACCGGCACAGCGGACCCCCGAGGCCCACGAACGACCCGCCGCCTGCCCGCGCACGATCCGACTCCCGCCTCTGCCAGATCCGCACTTTTATTCGCACTAAAAGCGACGCCATGGAGCCTGGTCAAGGTAACGTTAGCCTAGCTCCCGAGTTAGCCTAGCATCGAAAACAACGCACTTTACCCGCGACAACAACATTACCCCGCACGATATCGCGGATTAAGTTGGCGCGAGTTAACGTGAGCCCGTGTCAGCGTGTTTAATCGTGATCTGGAGTGTTTTTCGTGAATAAATAACAGTAGTAGAGTCGTTAGGACAGGCCGTAAAAGTGACAGTGACAGCGAGGCTAAAGGATGAGGGCGGATCGAGTGTCTCCTCTCCCACAAACTTCATGACACGTACAAAACAAGCACAGATCGGCGTTATTTTAATGTTTATGCTTTTTATTTTTCTGTCACGTTGTGGGTTAAGAATTTGACATCGACAAATGGTGAAAGAAAGACAGTTTGGAGCAATTTGGAGCTGGTAAAACTATTTAAAGGCGAGTGTTTTATTCTGCAGTGATTGAAATTTCAAAATAAAAAACTGGGACATCCCCGTTTCTGTTTTTTTTTTTGGTGGTAGGTAATTGGGGTGTAACAATAATTGAAATATGATATCGTATCGTGAAAAGTCTCATAATAATATCGTATGCTGTCACAATATATCAAATTACAAGTTAATTTGCTTTAATGCATTTTGTTTTATAGTACCAATACATGCATCATGAATCTCAGACTTCCGGTCATCGCGGAATGCATACTGGGAACGATTTTCCGAAAAAGTGAGCATCAAACCGCCATGTTTGATTTCCCATTGGGATGCGTCTATTGACAAAGTCGATCTTTTCAAGTCTTTTTGGACCATATCACTTTTGTTTCTGGTTTCTTATATTGTCATATTTTAGATTTGGGATTCGGACATTGTAATTGTGTGGTTGTTGGATGTCCTAACAGCGGAAAATGGCTTGAGGAATGGGCTTCGGAAGTTTGAGAACCCCATGAATGCAAAAGTGAATCAGATATGTGTGACTGCAAACCTCTGTTCAAACTGTTTACCTTTCCAACGGAATTGAAAAATGGTGAAAGGTGAAGGCGATGGGCAGGATTGATCCACAGGAAGGATGAACAAGGAAACCTTTGTCTGCCTAAGATAACATCCCAAGTTTGCTGCAAAAATTTTGTATGTGAAGCGCCAACAAAACAAAATCCTGTGTGTTAAGCGAGAGGTGCAGAAGACAAACAGACTGAGCTGCACTTTCTTGTTCTTGTGGTTTTACAACAACATCAGGTCTTGGTCTCTTTGCAGTGGAAGGTGTTTCTTGGTGAACAGCTGGTGCCTTTCGCTTTGCCGCTGACTTTTTAAATTCATAACCGAGGTTGAGTGAGGGATTGGGATTTTGCTTTGATGGCGCTCCACATACAAAATGTTCGCTGCAAACTCGGGATAATTTAGGCAGCCAAAGGTTTCCTTTTTGGTCCTTCCTGTGGATTAATCCTGCCCATCACCTTCACCTTTCACTATTTTTCAATTCCGCTGGGAAGGGAAACAGTTTGAACGGAGGTTTGAGTCACACACATCTGATTCACTTTTGTAGTTATGGAGTTCGCAAACTTCAGAAGCCTGTTTCTCGAGCCGTTTTCCACTGTTAGGATTCAACAACCACACAATTACGATGTCCGAATCCCATAAAAAAAATATGACAATATCCGAACCAGAAACAAAAGTGATATGGTTCAAAAGACTTGGAAAGATCGGCTTTGAGAATAAACACATCCCACTGGGAAAACAAACATGGAGGTTTGATGCTCACTTTTTCGGCGGCTCCTTCCCAGTATGAATTGCGTAATGACCGGAAATCCAAAATTCAGGATGCATGTATACCCTCAATACTCAATACAAAAAATACTCTTTTTAGAAAATACAATGTGATTTTCAACATCTGTGTCTGTGTTCATTTCGGTCCTGTGAATGTGACTTTTTTAGTATCGATACCAGCTCAAATGAGTATCAGTTTGGCATCTGATTTTCATCAACTCTAGCTTGAACGAACTCCAATCTTGTTTTGCTGTTTACATTTTTCTTTATGGCTGAGTTTGAGTTCCTTAATGCTCAAACTTTGGCACATGCTGTCCTACTTTTCTCCACCCACTTTTCTTTTTCTGAGTGAGTGACAGGTGGATTGTGTTCGTTCAGAAGAAGTAGATGGTTGTAAATACCTCTTTAAAAAGCAACGTAAAGCTGGTGTACTAGATTAAAACTGCAAGATTAATTACAGTTAAGTTGAAATCGCAATTTGAGTTATGGCAGTCCAACTGTCTAAATAAATATATCCTAAAATCTAAGTTGAAATTTTAGGCTCTAAGAAAATTACTATATTTTTAATTATATTATTCACCACTTTTGATGAGTCTAAACAGAATTCATATTTGTTTTAATGTATCTGTAATACTTCAGTTCCAATGTTTCTATATACAACCAAATTTGACACAGCTCTTTGGCTTTTTTCCACAAATTTGGCAGGATTTAACTAGGACATGTCATCGTCTGAAAAGTTGGACTACAGGAGGTCACAGGGAGGACTTCCCCGTCTCAAGCGGCGCTCACATGACTCCGCTGTCTCTGTCTGTCTGTGGCCACATGCCTCTGTCTGTAATAATGCTGAACTCGCTTATCTCTCACACACAGGCAAAAGATCATGAGGAATTTGGAGCAGAGGAGGAGGAGTAGGAAGGGGGGCAGGAGCAGAGGAGCAGAGAAAAGAGGAGAAGGGCAGATACAGACGAGGAAGAGCAGGGCAAGTGCAGTGGAGGATGAAGAGAGGAGGCAAATAGGGCAGGTGTAGTGGAGCAGAGGCGGAGGGGAAGAAGAGCAGAGAAAGGAAGAGGGCAGAAGCAGAGGAGGTGATTAGGGCAGGAACGGAGGAGGAGGAGAAGGGCGGGTGCAGAGGAGGAGGGCAGGTACAGCGGAGAGGAGGAAAAGACGACATTCTGGAGCGGAGGAGGATGAAGAGAGGAGGAGGAGAATAGAGCAGGAAGAGGAAGTGGGCAGGTGTAGAGGAGCAGATGAAGAAGATGAAGAGCAGAGAAAAGAGGAGAAAGCCAGATACAGAAGAGGAGGATGAAGAGAGGAGGAGAATAGGGCAGGAACAGAGGAGAGGAGGAAAAGATGACGATCTGGAGCAGAGGAGAATGAAGAGAGGAGGAGGAAAAGAAGGTCTGGAGCAGAGGATGGTGGAAGGAGTAAGGCAGGTGCAGAGGAGGAGAAAGAGGAGGAGGGCAGATACAGAAGAGGAACAGAAGGGCAGGTGAAGAGGAGGATGAAGTGAGAAGAATAGGGCAGGAGCAGAAGAAAGGAGGAGAAAAAGAAGGTCTAGAGAGGTGGAATAGGGCAGGAATGGGGCTGGTGTAGTAGAATAGATGAGGAGGAGGAAAAGGGGGGGAGAATCGGGCAGGAGCAGAGGAGAGGGGGAGGAAGAAGGGGGCTGGTGCAGAGGAGTAGTAGGACAGGTGCAGGGGAGGAGGAAAAGAAGGTCGAGCAGAGGAGGACAATAGGGCAGGAGCAGGTGCAGAAGAGGAGGAGGAAAAGAGCGGGTGGAGGACAGGAACAGAGGAAGAGGGGGAGAGGGGAAGAGGAGCAGGGAAAGGAAGAGGGCAGGAACAGAGGAGGACTGTGATGTGTGAGCTACTGTTAATTAATAATCAGTATTCAATCATTCATTTTTTTTTTTTTCTTATTAGTTTTTACATTTTACACACATAATTTGAGGATTTGGTTATAAAATATTAAAACGGATATTGAGTAGCTACATAATTCCATACATCTTAACTCATATATTTGAAGTCTTCTGCATATATATAAAATGTCAAAAGTAGTGAGTGTAGTGCATGTGTGCGTGTGTGTGTGTGTGTGGAGGGTGTGGTTGGAGTGGAGACGTGTCAGAGCTCTGAGGGCCACTGGACCGGTTGTAGCTGTCACCGTAAGATATTCAGCCTCGTGCTCGGTCACTGTGGATTTACGTGAAATTATGATGCAATCCATAACAGCAAATTACAACACATTCGTACATTGTGTCTTCAAATTTTTAGGTAAAAGGAACAACAATGTCAGTATCACTTTTGGAAATGCATAATCTTATGGCTGAAAAGGCAGACAAACAAAATAAATACAAAAACAAATAAAACCCTCCCAAGTCCCTCCTCTCTCTCCATACGCCGTAGCAAAGGAAGATTTTTAATGTTTTTTTAAATTATTGACCTACAATATATTAAATTATTACAAATTTAATATACGACTACTAAGTATTACTACTGTATTTTCTGCACTATGGAGCACTCTGGATTATAAGGCGCATTGTCATTAAATGGTCTATTTTCAAACTTTTTTCACAAATAAACTGCGTGGGACTTTAAAGGAAACAACAGTTGGATGGGTCAGTGGTTTTATTTGTGGCATTCACGGCGACTCTGGGCTTTGTTCAGTTGTGGCGTGTAGGGAGGGTGCTGTCTGGGACCGCTGGATTGTCGGCGTGTTCGCAGTGACTCAGTTCTTCAGTTGTGTCTAGTGCACAAAGTGGCACATTGCGCTCCCTTTTTCAATTCGTTCCTCCGTTCCGTTCCTCGTGGGCGTGGTAGTGATGAGTGTGGCTGTGGGTGTTTTTCGCTGCGCGGTCGCTGTCTGCTCCGTGTGTGTTTGTGTGTTCTGCAGGTGGTGCGGCTTTGTAGTTTACTGGAGTCGTGCTGGGACACCCGAGTGGATTCGTGTATAGGGCGCTCTGGCTTGCGGGGTGGGCGGGCATTTTTTGATGGGGTTAGAGGCTTAAGAGCACGACTAATAGCTCGGAAAATATGGTACTAAGATATTAAACTACTACTACAGTGGTAACAAACCAAAAGTGAACCTTCACCCACAGGGCTGCGTATCATTAAGAAGTTACCAATACGATAAATATCTCGATACAGTGAGCTTTCGATTTGATATATTTCAAATCAACTTGAAACGGTTCAATTAAAAAATAACTAAAATGACTAAATCATGGCTGTGATGCTAAAAGTCTTTGTTAAACCACTTCTTGTGTAAAGTTCATATGAAACACAAACATTTTAATCAACAAAACAGTGAAAATATCAAATTTGTCACATAAACGAGTTTCTTTTCAGTGAAGAAACAACAAAACTGTAGCTGTAACAAAATAATTTAATAAAATATACCAAAAAATATTCTTGGCAATATATCGATACAGCAGCCCCTGACATCATTACTGTATCATCACATTAAACGTTAGGATATATTGATATTTCAGTATTTTTGCACACTCCTAATGTGCATCAGGTGAACCTTTCAGTGGAGTCAGCCTCTTGCTTGTCTCACATGATGATATTGCGTTGCCTGGTATGTTCCAAAATGCGGCTTTAACTTTCCTGCATTTATTCAGTTACATGTGTTTCTATTCCCTTGTACATAGTGATATGTCGATACAGCAGCCCACAATATCGTTACTGTATCATCACATTAAACGATACGATATATCGATATTTCAATATTTTTGCACACCCCTATTCACCATTATAAAACTGTTAAGAAACAAGACGCTCAAGTCTCAGCTGACAAAGATCAAATGTGTCACAGCCACAGGTCAAAATTGGTCATTTCCTGAACCGTTTTAGAATGGTCTTTTTTTTCCCCCTTCTTTTTATTTGCACTAGTGTAAGAGAGTGGGAGGTGTAAGAAAAACAATTCAGTGATATACTGTGAAACTTCATTGCGTGATTCTCAAATTGATTCAAAATGTTTCCAAATTGATTAAAAAAAAAATTTCAATTCAAGTTTCATTTTCTGCTCTCATAAAAATTCATCCTATTTTATTCTCTTGAATTTTTGTATCGGGATATATCGTGAATAGATGTATACAGTTGTAGGGAGTATTATATGTTACAACAACTGACCCTTATGTAACAGATAATACTCCCTACAACTGCACAACAACTCGTCATTATGTGACAGATAATACTCCCTACAACTGTACAGCAACTCACCCTTATGTTACGTATAATACTCCCTACAACTGTACAACTACTCCCAACAACGAGAACACCTGGTCATATAAAAGAAACGGCCATTTGTTTGACTTGAAACTTAATTTAATGTTAAACTGAATTTTTCATATTAAAATTGCTATGAAATGTCCTTTCTTATTTTAACATTACAAAAATCAAATGTTTATGAAGCGAAGTTCAACCAAGGTTTTTGAAAAAGTACAAAAATAAACTGCTGGTATTTGCTGGTGGTTTGTGTGTTTGTTTTTTTGTGAGTAAATAATCCTGACTGACCGAGGATGGAGCCAGTGACCCCTGCAAACTGTCCAAAATATGACTCAGGGCAGTTATGAAACCAACAATATGCTTTTTGGAGTAAATGTCATTTACTCCATTTACAAATGTCATTACCGTATTTTCTGGACTATAAGTCACTCCGGCCAAAAAATACGTAACGAAGAAGAAAAAATGTATAAAAGTTGCACTTTGTGGGGAAATGCATTTTATAAAATCAGAAACCAGGAACCGACATTTCATCTTAAAAGGCAAGTTACAGTAATAACAACAGAACAGAGAACAACGGACTGAACAGGCATTAATATGTTAACGTAACATATTAACAGTTCTTCAGATAATTATAGAATAAACAACAGAACATAAGTTTACCAAACTCATGATCTCACTCCAAATCACTAAATCCATTGAATCCATTGAATTCTTCGTCCTCGGTGTAACTTCTGCGTGACCTCCGGAGATAAACCATAGATCCATGAGGTAAACAGAGTGCCGCTTCCTCTTCTGTGTCGCTGTCATCAGACTCGGCATCAGTTCCAGTTAGAATTATTCTGGCCTTTCTGAATCCCGACAGGATGGTTTCGGTTGTGATTGAAGTTCAGGCTTTGTCGATTCATCCAATGTCTTCCAGGAAAGTTTCATGGTGCAAATTGGTGAAATTGTGTTCTCCATCCTCTCTTTCCCCCAGTCCCTCAGAAGTTTCTCGCACACTCCAAACTTTCTTTTTGCTGCTGCATTATCGTTTTCGGCTGCAGATTTCACTATTTGCAGTGAGACAGCGGCTCTTTCTACTGGAGATATGCGCAGTAGAAAGTGAAGTGACAGTGGTACAGGAGTAATAGTATTACTAGACATTGACACACAAGACTAGAGCCTCTCCACACTGTCAGTGTGAAAATTTTAATACATAAGTTGCACCAGAGTATAAGTCGCAGGAAACGCCCAAACCATGAAAAAAAAAAGACTAATCATCCAAAAAATACGGTACATAAAACACACTCTACAATGTCAGTTCTGGTTTCCCTTTAGTTCAAATGTCCCGTGACCTTGGCTGTTATTAATAAAAGTTCATATTGTTAATCTGCTTGAAATTCCTCCCTCCCTGCGCACTGGGGCAGAGTTTGTTGGCATCGGCACTGCTGCACTCGTGCCCACACTAAGTCAATATTTCTGGAGCAGGGTGGAGCTCTCCTGGCACTTCACAGCCGGATGTTCTTCTTACACACATCACCTTTGAGTGTGTGTGATAAAAGTAGTAGTAGTATTGTCCTCTTAAAGCTGCATTGTGTAACTTTTCTGGTGGAGGGTCTGTCATTTGCTTTGCCTGGAATGTTTGTTTTTATAGGAATTTTTGAGCAATAAAACCACCCACAGAGCACCTAACGTAACATCAGTCCCACCGCTCAATAGACACTTTATGCTGCTGTTTCCACCCTCTCCCCCAAAAACACCAGCTCCGCTGTGCAACATGCAAACAAACAGCACTGTGCGACTACACCATCGGCCGCACAGGTGTGAACACGGGCCACAGAACTGCAGGTAACAGTGCCCGAGCACGACACGACCCAAAAGTCCCAACCCAAGTGCGCCTCTAGTACAGCAGGCGCTGGGTCGCTGGGACAGACAGTCGCTCTAACTGGACCTGAGCAAATCCCGTGCCTCAGTTAAAACAAAAACAAAACAAAACAAAAAAACTGGTGTGTCCTGTGTGTGTTATATACATATATTATTTATCCAATACCTGATTGGAACGTAACGGCCGGGTCCTGATCGAGTCCAGTCATGTGATCAGCTCATGTGATTTCTGATCACGTGATCGGATCAGGACAACCCTATTTCAAACTATAATTTCATTGGTTAAAAATGTATGACAGAATCTCAGTACACAGTAGATAGAATTATTGGACTTGTCGACGAATAAAAATAAAACCTCTGACATGTCGACTACAAAGATAATCATCAGTTGTAGCCCTAGTGTCTTGATTGATGCTTTTCAGTGTCCAAAGACATATTTCAAATGGCCGTCATTCCAAGAACCTTTTTTTTCTTCTTCTTTCTTCGTTCATCTTTCCTATTTTGTTGTTGTTGTTTTTTTGTCTTACCACTTTGACTGTGAGTGGACAGATGTGGGTCAGAGGAGCTCTCAGCTTAAGTGCCCTGCTAATATCTCTTACAGCAGCTCTGGCCTCTTCCTGTTTGTGAGCGATACCGGAGGACACATCACTCTGTGCTTCAGTCAGATACTGCAGCTTTTACCGCAGTTCTTCTTTTGTAACTAAACATGTACAGATAAGATTCCATTATACCATCAGTGACCCAGCACTTTTCATGTTTTTCCGGTTTTAGGGTTATTTACTTTACTATTTAACTTTTTTTGTGTAAACTTTCTGGTGGCTTGTCCTTTGCTTTTCTCCATGAAGATGTTTTTGCTTTTTCTAGAATGTTTGTATTAAACCGTTCTATCCTCATGGAGACCAAACCAGGCCAAGTTACAGGTCAGATCTGTGGAGAGGCATCCCTGCTCACAGAATGCCTTTTCTAGCCAGTTCTAGGCTGTTTAATGTCATACTGTGGAACATTCCAGGCAAAGCAATGACATCTCCATTTAAAAAAGCAGGTGATGGATTCCTGACCAAAGAGTAACACACTGCACCTTTAACGTATCACTGTGGATATTTGACAGCCACATTTGAGCCAGTCTGCTTCAGGGGAGGTGTGGCTACAGTATGGTAGTGTTGTAGTACTCCAGATTAGTAGTACTCGAGACTGGCCTCAAGACCATTTTTTGTCTTGGTCTCATCTCGGACTCGAACGTGTTTGGACTTGGTCTTGTCTCAATCTTGAAGTCACTTGGACTTGATTTTGTCACAGACAAAAGAGGGGTTTGATATATGTGCCAAAAGAACTGTAAAATACAAATAAATGTCCAAAATGACTAAGATGGCCTCGATTTGGTCTTGATGAGCCATGGTCTCGGTCATGTCTTGGTTTCGGCCTTTAAAAGTCTCGACCTTGTCTCGATCTCGGACTTGGACAGGTCTTGGTCTTGATTAGTGCGGTCTTGACTGCAACACAAGTAGTCCAAACTGTTATGGACTACTTTTTTATCCAATTTTTGTCTTGCTGTTGGTTTGAATAAGTTTTGGAGACAATATTATGCTTTTAATATATTTATAAGAATATTAAATCTTTGTAAACCTTGTTTTTAGAAGTACTTTATAAAGTGATGTACTAACAGCAAAGAACAATGAAAATTCAGAAATCATACAAAAACAATGATGCAGACAATTCAATAATTCTAATAAATACATTAATAAAATATAATCAAAATAAATAAGGAATAAAATCAAGCTAAAAGCAGCTGATGGAGAAGACCAAGCAATAGTTTTAAGAAGTGATTTCTATAGGAAGGAGCACACATTTATGTTAAAGGGCTGTATTATGGAATTTTCAGCATTATGTTATAATGAAACAGGCCTGGAGTTGAGTTTTGTGTTGTGTGAATGAAACGAAACACAACTCCAGCTCTGTTTTTGATGAGCTAACAGTTTTATAACATGGTTTGTGTAATATAGGACTTCAATCTTGACTAACTTTGTCCTCCCCTTGTCCTCTGTCTCTGCGTCAGACATCAACCTGAACTCTCCAAACAAAGCCGTGGGTGTGGATGGAGCTGGCAGTCTGGACATGCCCGCTCATGTGGAGGGGGGGGCCATGGGCAGCTCTAACCCTCTGCCCCCCGGACTCACCGAGGAGGAAGCCGAGGAGCTGAGGACGGAGCTCGCCAAGGTCAGAGCCAGACTCCCCACACAACAAGGACTTTTGTATACACAGGATCTGCTTTGGTATTTAGAAAGGTGGTTAAGAGATCCAGATCACTAGGGATGCACTGATACGATACTGGTATTGGCTATTGGTGCTGATATTAAAAAAATTGGTGCGTCAGATATCAGTTTCCAAGATATCACTGCTGCCGATACCTCATTTTGATCTATAAATTGCTGTAATACAACAATTTACAGGCCAATCCTCACCTAAAATGTTTAATAATATTGAACATATATTTTTCAAAGTTAAAGTAGTAGTTAAATCAGGGGTGGGCAATTATTGTTTACATGGGGGCCACATGAAAAACTATAAAATATTGTGGAGGGTGGGTCAAAATGATTAACTCAATTCTGCATAATATGAATAGTATTTCTTTATAAAAATCAGTAAATATCATTGTTTTGATGAGCTGCTCAGACTGGTAAGGGTTTATGTTGTGACTAAGCCATGAAAACGTGAGGTTGCCTTACAAAAAATGTAATTAAAAAAACACCTCTAAAATAAAAGCAATGCAGCTTTAGTCCATGCATTAGGTAAAATTATAAAATATGTTTATTTTGTAATTGCAAATGATCTTAAATGGGACGGTCAGAGTCACCCAAATGCCCACGTCTGCTCTATATGATAAATTACATTTACAAAACACATTTGGATAATTTTTCTATACGCTGTTTGTGTTTAAAGGAAATAAAAAATATTTTCAATCGCTGCCCTGGTATTGGTTGATATCGGGTATCGGCAGATACGTATCGATATAAGAACAGAAAAGGCTGGATCTGTGCATCCACACAATTCACACATTTCCAAAAATATAGCATTGACAAAAACTATGAGGCAAATAGTTAGTCAACAAAATTAACACGGGTGACTAAAACGAAATAAAACAAAATAGAAAATGATTGTGAAAACAGAAAGTGACATTTTTATCAACTAAAAGTGTTGATAGTTTTGTTTAAAACATAAAAGATTGAGAAGAATAAGTGGAGTGATTCCAGCTCCTACACATGAATGCCCTTGTTGTGTCCGTGAGCAACACCCATGTCTGTGTACACTCATGCATGAATGTGCTTGGGAATGGATGATTAAACCGCATTTGATTAAAACTACCCAAACTTTCCTTGTTCTGATCATTGTGTGTTCCCCAGGTGGAGGACGAGATCATCACTCTGCGTCAGGTGTTGGCGGCCAAAGAGCGCCACTCCACAGAGCTGAAGAGGAAATTGGGGCTCAGTCCTCTCGTGGAACTCAAGCAGAACCTGAGCAAAACCCTGCAGGATGTCCAGACCTCTAACGCGTACGTATCGCACTCAAGTATCGCACTCACGTAGCACAGCAGTATTTAAAGGGCCCATCTCATGCAAAATAACTCTTTTCACATTGTATCTTCTGCACATATTCAAGCACAATTTGGGTTTTGGAACATCCATTACACAATAGTTATGAAATCTTACTGATTTCTTGGAAGCAGTCACAGACCAGAAACTATGAAAGGCCGACTATTGCTCATCCCCCCACCCGTCCTGAGAAAGCACAGGCTCCACCCTCCAAACGTGACGTAGGCTCTGAGTGAGCCGCCCTTCCTCCGCCCATCTCAGGGAGGGAGGGGGAGACAGATGAGCACCCTGATAGCGGTAGGAATAATCTTTTATTCATCATGGCAATACAGCGCGTTCAGCCGCATGTGTTGGACCCAGAATCAGATGAGGACTTTGAGGTGCACGAAGCACAAGCACCGCGTCGACATCAGCTGAACATTACAGATTGGTAAAGTATTAATAAACACTAGTAGATAAACTTATTATATCATGTTCACTGCAGTGTAGAACAATGAGCTTATGCTGTCGCTTTTGTTTAGGTGTTCATGTGGGGTGGAGGCGGCGAAACGGGAGGGAGGCGGGTGTGAAGAGTTTTCTGCTACGTCAAACGCGTCATAGGTGTATCTGCCGCGTTGTAGCAGCTTTAGTTCGTTGTCACGTGGAAGGGTGGCAGAAATACGCTGCAGTTTGTGTAAAAAAAAGAAAAAGAAAAAGAAGCAGAATCAATCTAAACACTTTGAGACAAATACAAGGCCCACACATCACTCTTAGAAGGTAGAAAGCTCTGAAAAGTTGATTTTAGATGAGATGGACCCTTTAAACATCCTGGCTGCACACAGAGCCTATTTTTTTGGTATCAAACTTATTTTTAATCTGGAGAAATATGGTTTAGAGGAATAAGCAGCTTTTCTAATACACAAAAAAACATCTGGTAGATTTATAATTTAGAATATAACTGATACTTTGCAGCTGATGTCATCAATACATTACACAAGGGTACACAGTCACCAACAGTTTTTCTCAGTTAGTCACACTTTCCCCTTTTTTTGTTGAAAATCAAACATCTAAACAAGGCCATATATTTTGTAAAAAGACAGATTCGACTTGTTTATCTGTCTTAAATACATTTCTTCCTCGAACTTTAGTGTTCGTAAATACCTGTTTTTGCATGAGCTCCCCCTGCAGGTGTATTCTCGTCACTGCTAGTCGACAACAGCCCTAGTGTAAGTCCATTTTGTGCTTTATTTTTATTAGTTTTCTGACTTTTTTGGCAGTATATGCTAATGTGTATGTTATGTTTCAATAGTATTCTGCCATAGACATCCATGCAGAACCCCCAGTATGATCTCACTGCAAAGTATCAATATTCAAAAAGGGTAAACAAGGTAAACACTTTCGGGAAAAGTATATTTTCCAACAAAAAATATACTTTTTATTAATTGCTAATGAAGCAGTGAAGGTGAAACGTTATAAAAATATTTATCCCTCATTTTATTTAAACCAAACTTTAGGAAGCATATTTCTGTTTATGTGTAATTCCGTCTGTGTGTGTAGCCAGAACGACGCCCAGATTTATCAGAAATGACCTGAGTGACTCATCTGTTTACAGTCCCTCACAGAGCCTCATGTCCATCTGTCTAATGCAACGCTTCGAGGAATTACTCTGCGGAAAAACAGTCCTCGGAAACAATGCAGATATTTTAATTACAAGTTTCAGATTTTAGTGTTGTACAGGCCATTACAATTTTGCCTCTATCCTAAAGAAGTCATAATTTTCCTTTTAGAATATTTATCAAGATCATTTTTATAAAGGTGATCATACAACAGGGATGCTCTTGTCGTATCCTATAGACTCTATTCACGTTTACGGCACCAGGAAGATGTTTGGATGCGATGACAGCTTCTGGCGGGAATAACAAAATACAATGGGATTTTTTATTTTATTTCTTTTTGGTTCTCTGTTTTATTTCACATATCACTGGTTTGGAAGAAACTTGGTTACACTGTCAATACAGTTTAGATCTTGAACAGCACTGAAACAAGTTGCTTCACTGTCCATTCTGCTGCTGTTGTGTAAATTTCAAGGTTCCCACAGTCATGACAATCCTGAAAAACTCATCGAAATTGAAACTGTAATTTTTCAGGCCAGGAAAAGTCATGGATTTTTAGTATTTCTTTCATGCAAATACAGTGCTCTGTTAAGTTCTCCCAAGGCTATTATGATTATTTCAGAGCGTCTGTGTCTTTTGTTTTGAAGAGACAATAAATGCACTGACAGTACAGTCGTCCCTCACTATATCGCGGTTCACCTTTCGTCTCGCTGTTTCGGGGACTTTAGTGCAATTTGCCTGCCTTTTTTTTTACAGTGTATGAAAGCACATTGTGTATTACGGGCGGGTAGTAATTACACACGGGCGGGTCAGGACTAAACCAGGACTAAACTATGACTAAACCAGGATTAAATCAGGACTAAATCGGGTCTAAACCAGGACTAAACTAGGACTAAACCAGGACTAAACCAGGTCTAATCTAGGTCTAATCCAGGTCTAAACTTGGATTTAAGAGAGAGAACCCAGAGTAGGGTGTCCGCAAAGTCGATCGGGCGATGGCCGCACTTACCTCCATGAGGTGCGGAGGTCTCCGTCGGTCCTTTCTCCTGCGGTCACCTCCAAACCCGTACAGACGGTGAGGCTTGGTTCAGTCCTGGTTCAGTCCTGGTTCAGTCCTGGTTCAGTCCTGGTTCAGTCCTGGTTTACTTCTGGTTTACTTCTGGTTTACTTCTGGTTTAGCCCTATTCTTCCGTCCTGGAATCAGTCCTAGGTTAGTCCTGGGTTAGTCCCGGTTTAGTCTTGCGTTGCTATCCTGGGAGTCTCCAAAAATGGACCCGTGCAGGACTGTAGGACTCCATTACGTAATAAATTAATCTTAACTAATCGTTACAAAAAGAAGGAGGAAAATAAAAGGATGACAGCAGCAATAAGTTTTAAGAAGGATGTAAAAAGGATTAACTGTGTGTGCCGAGGGGTTTTACAGCCTTAAAACTGAATTGTAAAATATAAAGTTGACTACTTCACAGATTTGATCTATCGCGTAACCCCCACGATAAATGATTAACCACTGTATTTTGAATGTTAAAAACCTATAATCCCAGTGGAAAGGGTTAACTTTTCATATTTATCTCTAAAAGTCTGATGAATTCTAGACATTTAGGCGCCGTAAAGCCATGGGAAATTCACTTTCGGTCATGACAAAATCGGCCAAGTTTTGAAATTTTGTCAGTGAACGAGTGGGAACCCTGAAATTTTTGGTTACTTTGACAATTTCTACATTTGATATGGCTTTCATGTGAATAATAACTCACAGTATTTGACATGTAAACCCACAGAGTCTTTCATTTCTCTCTCGTGCGCTCACTGTCTCTGGTCTGTCTGTAGTTATGTGCGAACCTCCGAGAAACTGGGCGAGTGGAATGAGAGAGTGACTGGGTCTGAGTTGTAAGTTTTTTTTGTTTTTTTTTAAAAAATCTCTCGTCTTTGGTTTTTGCTCCGAGGCGTCAGAGTGGGATTGTGTTTGCTCGCCCCCCCACTCCCTAGACGCTTCATCCGCTCACATCTCCCTAACAGTATTTGCCCAGTCCTCCGTATCGCTCCTGGTGTGTGTGACTTGTGTCTGGGAGGAGAAGGAGGAGGACAGGGTCTGATTGTGCCTGGATTTAACCTTTTTGATTTGAAATAACACACTAACGTCAAGGTCACATGGTAGAAGCAACAACTCTATTTTATGTCTTGAATCTTAAGACTTTTAATTGGACTTTTTTTTTTTCATGTCATTGATACTTTGCAGCCGCTGTCGTCAACATTCCCTGGGGGTTAGACTTTAATCTGAGCTTTATTTTATCACAATCTGACCATAAAGAACTGATTTAGCTGAAACTGTACAACAAGTGAGCTGATTTGTGCTGTTAAACAAGTGTCTCTCAGCCGCTTTCACCTTTTTTGTTGAAAATCAAACTCCTAAACAGGACCATGAACGCTCGTATCGATCACTCCTGAAAATGTTTTGTTTAAATCCATTTTGAGTTTTTTGACACTGGCCACTTTTACATGATGATTTTTAATTCTGAATTAAATAGTTTTGGATTAAAATATTCTCCTTCGAGTTTACATTGAAATAATAATGCCAATTTTAGCTTTACGTGGAGAAAACATAAAATTATCTTTATTTAATTCTGCTCTGGAAGGGTTCTGATTGGACAGGGACACGAACATATTTACGTCGACTGGAAGAAAACACACACTTCAGCTGCTGCTGGCTTTTCTGTCATCTCTGTTTGTCGTTACTCCCCGAACACAAACACAATACAAACTTTTCCCGCAGTGGTTCCAATGATAATTGCGCTCTGTCCTCATGCTTTACGTCTGTCAGCTGAGGAGGAAAAAGGGAAGAGTGTTGGAGAAAGGAGGAAGAAGACAAACTGAGTGTGAGGTTGCTCTACCTCAGCCCACTCCCACATCCGCCAGGACTGGTTAATTAATTCGGTTTTAAAATTGGAATAAACCACCCACTTACTTCGAAGTAAAGTTTAATTCTGAATAATCATTTTTATTAGGAATTAAGTGTTTACATGGAAAAAAAATTCAGAATTTAATTATTTTTATTCGGAATTAAAGCTAAGTTAAGTATTAAGTGAAAACTCGGCACGATCCCAAAACAGCGGCACAAGTGAAAATCTGTTCAAAAAGGGCCAAAAATTGCGCAGTGTACACCCAGCTTAATGGTGGATTGTGTCACTGTGGTAACTGATGAACATTCCGCCACACACATACAGTCCCTGACAAAAGTCTTGTCGCTTATCCATTTTGTAGAAACAAAAGCTTATAACTTGACTTTAAATTAATCAATTGGTTTTAGAAATGTCTCATATGAAAGCTAAAACCCTCCCAAATTATGCTCAATAAACTAAAATAAATTAGCTTCA